GAACTGGCAAGAATAAAAAGAGTTTTCAGGTAAAACATTTCAAACAGATAACAGACTGGGGTAATAGTGGGGTAGAAGGGAAGGGGAAAATCCTTACTGGTAAGATGAATATAATGAACCACAAAATAACAAAACTAAACAGATTTGATGTAAAAAAAAATATGTACCTAAATATATTGGTTTTTTAAATTGTTACATTGTTTATTGGTAAAATTAAGAAGCAGTTACACGGAAGCTTAGCCATTATTTATCACATACCATATAGGTAATCCTCAAGCAGCTGAACAAGGAGAATGATACACCAGGTTATTACAGTAAAGTATATACATACACCCTCTTTGGTCATTAGAATGACTGTCAGGCTACCAGGCAGAATTAGTGGGGAGAAAATAGCAAGCAGCGGCTTAACCTTACATCCAGAACTCACTGACCACTGCTCTGGGAGGTGTGGGTTATGCAAACTTCTTCTAGATCCTCGCTGGGAAAAGTAGAGAATATCCTTACTCCATACACCATTTCTATTTAGTAGCTGTACTTCTTCAAGTCAGTGAAGCTATTCTGAAACTTGATACCCTAGAGATCATCCATGAATTATACCTATATAGATCATATTTTCTTCTGTAAGGCCCATGGAAGAAACCATGTAATTCTATTTCTGAAAGGCTTTGTGTGGGTCTTGCTTAATTAATTAGAACAAGTTAGATTTGTAACACAGTTGTTTTAATTGTCTCATAGTTTGATAACATGCCATAAAACTCATCTGTGAATCCTGAACAACACAGGCCAAACAAGTTACTGCAATATCTAATGTTTTTAATCCATATTTATTAAAATTGACTTTTAGTGACATTGCTTTGGTTTGCTTTTGTTTTTTTCTAAGTGTTGACTAGTCCTTTTATTTTCATCAATCGTTTAAATTTGGAGAGGGCATATATTAGAAAAAGAAGAGGAAAAGTAAAAAGGTTGTTGAGGAACACAAAGAATTTCATTCAAAGGAACGCACAAAATATGTCTTCCTCAATTTAACACATGGAGCACTGAGTGTTACACCATTAGCTTTCCTCTTTACTTCTGAGCATGTACTAGTAACTCTTTCTGCAATATGCCAGATTCTTTCATGGAGCCAATTGGCTGAATTAGCACTGACATCATTTTAAGCTATGACTCAGGGTTACACAACAGAAAGGCTGAAGTAGGAACAGTGAAGCTCCAGCGCTCCCTCAGAAGCCATCTAAACGGTGCCTTCTCTTTCCTGAGGCTGCAGCTTCTTTAGACCAAATGTGAATGGAAAAGAGTGTTTTTCAAGGAGGAAGAAGAGTAATAACATGTATGTAGAGAATAACTATAAATAAATCTGAAAGATCACGGCTTACATAACTAAGTTCCATAAGACACTGCACAAAATTATCGGTCATTATATTCACCACGGGCAGAGAGCTCAAAGTACTTGCATCGGCATACTTTTTATGTGGATAGGAGATGTTGATCCAAAATCACAACACATTATCCGATAACCTGGTGCCACTGAGCAGACACTGAGATGAAGAAATGCATGCCCTGTCTCCAGAATGCCATCTCATAGAATTAAGATTGAATAGAGAATATATAAAATTAAACTTTGCAGGGGGGAGAAGTGTCGGGAGGGATAGTTTTCCCTGAGTTTAAAGTAACACAATAAGTATACTCAATGTCAACGCTTCCTCTCTATACTTCATATTAACAATATAAAATATTTGTACCCAATAATGTTCTGTGGCGCTTGACAGTCTTTAAAAACCTTGCACTTCTATGTTTGGTCTATGACAGGGGTGTCAAACTCATTTTCACTGGGGGCCAGCCACATCAGCCTCGTGGTTGCCTTCAAAGGGCCAAACGTGCCCTATCTGGTATAGCTCAGTGGATTCAGCGCAGGCCTTTGAACCAGAGGATCATGGTTTGATTCCCAGTCAGGGCACATGCCTGGGTTGCAGGCCAGTTCCCAGCAGGGGACATAAGAGAGGCAACCATACACTGATATTTCTCTCCTCTCTCCTTCCTTTCCCCTATAAAGATAAATAAATAAAAATAATAAAAACTAAGGGCCGAATGTAATTTTAGGACTATATAAATGTAACTACTTAACAGTTAAGCAAGAGCTCGGCCCTGCCGCCAGGTAGAAAGAAGGTTCCGGGCCGGATAAAACAGGTGGAGGGCAGGACTGGGCCCTCAGGCCTTGTGTTTGCCACCTGTGGTCTATGAAATAATACTTACTATTTAGTGTTTATGTTTACCAAAACATATATCAGTAATACCTTATAAAATTTTAAAGATATTAACTTATGGTCACATCACAGAACTTTAAAAGCACAAATTTTCCAACATTATTATTTACAAATCCAGAAGATTACAAGTTTCCATTCATATGTTACGAAGATGCAATTATTAAATAAGAATACCTGAAGTAAGAAAATTAGAATTGCTTGAGGTAAAACAAATGCGGGAAGCATACAGTACAATACAAATTAGCTGGGATAATCATTACTGTTACTCTCTATGAGATGGAAAATACCCGACTATAAGAGGGAAGAAATACAAAAGTGTGGGCAGAATTTCTAACAGAAAGGCCATTGTTTACACATAAGTTCCACACTCTAGAAATATGAACACCTGCCAGGTGATTAAACACACCCACATGCAGAGTGTTCCACAGCTTTTCTTTTTAATTACCATCATTTATTATAATCACCAACAGGTAATTTTCTAAGCAATGTGAGATCAGCGCTGGAACTGAGGGGAGTTAAGTCGTTGCAACAAAGTCAAGCCACGACTCTGGGATGATTGGTTGTATCTGTGCAACCTGCCCGAAGAGCGAGTCATGATTTCCTCCACATCCTCCTGCCTGCACAGCAACACGGCTACTGCAGAGTCAAGTGCGGGGACTGCACTGGGGCCCAGATAAATTACATTGCTCGGTGAAATTATGTTTGGTGGGGTGTAACACCATTTCTTCACCCTGCACCCAAGCCAAATGGGCTTTCCACACCCATTACATCTCCAAGTCCAATTAGATGACATCTGTCTTGAAGCATGTCAGCCCCTCTAAAAGCCCTAGTATTTAACCTTTTGCAAAATATTGGTACTCTGAGAAATTTATCTTATTTTAATCCCACAACCAAGTATGAAACTGCTGCCTCAGTTAGGACAGAAATAAACTATGCTTTGAATGAAATTTTAAAGCTAAGATTATCCATACCAATGATCCTCTCAATGCAAAGAGGTATATTTTATACCACAATGCACCACTCAGACATTCTACACATATATACATACACACATATCCATAAACACATATTCCAAACACATAAAAATGAATGTGAAATAAGTCACAAACTATGTCTTTCCTTTAACAATATGAGACACTCACTCCGTTTTTTCTATTCTATTTCTTTATGCTCTGACGATCCCTAATTTGGTTTCACCAGCCCCCTAACTGGGCAGCAACCAAAGTTCAGAAAACACAGCTCCTTCTGTATAAATACCAATTCCTAGTTCTTTATAAGAAAGTCCCTCCTGCCAATCAGTGTTGGTATGACGCTCCCTCCAGATGAGACTAAACAGACACTCTAAAGAGCAACTGACGTGGAAATAGGTCTGTTTCCGGAACATGCATGAAACAGGCAGCAGAACACCCAGAGCAGAGGAGCAATGACGACACAGCTCTCAAAGCGAATGAGTCCCTTATCGCTATACTGAAAGTGCTTTATAACAGGCCTTTTTGGACAGGAAAATGGAAATTTAAACAAGACTTTATTTTTTCTTATTATGTAGGCAGCATTTTTTTGCCTGATAATATCTGGTGTTGAAACGGATGTGGGAAAATGTGTGCAATGTTATTAGGACTGTAATTTGTACAGCCTGTTTGGAGAGGGATCTGGGAGCATGTAACTAAATATTAAAGGTACATGCCCTTTAACCCTGAAATTCTTCTAATAATTTATACTAGGCTTTTCCAAATGAGAGAGATGTCTAAAGAGACTGACCACCAATGAGTAAATATGTATTTATAGTACAACCACATTGTTTAGAAGTTATATAAAGAAATGTTGAAGCGACAAGGTATCTCCACATCGCTGTTTCTTGGCGGGATACTGTTGGCATTTTGGGCAGGAGGCTTCTTCATAAAACCCCCTGCGGTTTTACAAACACTCCCCCGGACAAAAAAGAAAAAAGACCTAGTAAGATATGCTTAATGCTGAAACTATAAGTGATCAAAATAGCCTTTCTCAAATATTTTCTTTTTTCTGACCAAAGCACCATGAAAGAAGGACCTTTGGAAAAACAGTATTTAAGCACCCATGGTTCCTGTTTACCAAACTATAAAAGAAGAAAGAATTTTCACTCATGGTAATTTCTGATTGTTGTATGAATTTAATGTCAATATACCTCAATATATGAAGTATCAGGCAAAAATAAAAACAACCAACCAACAAACAAATAAACACATCTTTTGGAGTTCTATATTTCCTGCTGAAAAGTTTCATTCATGCTCCATTACAAGAGCATTTATAATTATCCCTTTTTCTTTTACAGGACCCTTGACAAAACTTATCAATACAACAAGCTACCTATTTAACCTGATGAAATGAGCATCAGTGGGCAAGTCCATAACGAATGCCAGGTCATTGCACTGTTTTATCTGGAGCAGTAATTAAAGAGCATTTACTAACCACTACCAGAAAAAAGTAAAATAAAAATACTCCCTGGGGTAGCGTGGTAGCATCCTTGACTGAGAAAACCACTGCTCCCTGTCTGCTGTGAAGAAAACAATCAAGAAAAGATGTTACGGGGGGGAAAAGGTGAGCTGCCGCACAAATACACGTGGTATGCCTGTAATTATGAGGAAATAAATCAACCACGCTCGGGTGTGTGTGCTCACCAATGCAGTGAACTTGGAGACATGTGAAGAGAGATTTACAAGTCTGGTTCTGTGAGCTCTGACACTGTTTGATTGTTTTCTCCTCAGGGGAGAGCACGAGCACAGTCCCCACAACCACAGATCACGCAGTCGAGTTTCCCACGTGTGCGAAAATCACAGGGGTCAGCATAGCCGGAGTGCAATGGATAAGCCTCGCCCTGGGAAAACCACCTTTGGGATCATGGGATCTCTCCTGCCAGGTAAGCATGCTGTTTGATTTTTTTTTAATTCTTTCGGTACTAGTGGTTAAATTTTACTAGGTTAACAATATTTTATTTGGGGAAACTAAAATCTGTAATATATTCACAAACCGTAAGTGGTTATTTTGAGAACTGTCATCGAGTAGTGCCTATTCAAAGAGCCATAAATCACAGAAAGAAAGAGAATAAGGGGGACAGACATGTTTCTAATGACTTGTTTGAGTCATAAAAGTTCTTTTCCTTCCTTATAAAAGTGATAAACTCTTTCTTTAATACATTCATTAACATGCATAAAAAGAATTTAAAATGTGGAAATTAAATAGCAATGCTACCTATGGTTTGAGCCCCAACTGGTTCCCTCTTTCCGTAGTGCACGTAAAATTATTACCTCTCCCCTCCAAGTCCAGCTTGTACCACACGCTCGCCTGTGTTCTAGTCAGCTGGTCTACCTGCCTGCCCCACCGAACAGAAGGCAGGTCATAGGCCAGGGCCCATCCACTATCACTCTCCACCCTCCCTCTAAAAGCTGCTGTTCAGTAAGTGGCTATCAAATGATGTTTTGTTTTTGACAATCTGTGAAACAAATACCTAACTTGGCACACATTTTAACTAGTGTATAGGACGAGATGAGTCGGAGGAAAAAAAATGGACCATATTCAATAGTACTAGTTAAAAACAATTATGAAATTACAATTGGTCCTTCTAAACACACTGAATACTAAGGATTTTTACATTTTTAATATAACTTTGAAACTATTACAAAAATTGTGCAAAGCCACATGAAGTAGTACCATTTTGTGTGAGCAGTTATTTCAAAAGGATTATACCCCAATAAAATCAGCAGAATAGCAGCAGCATCCTGTGGTACATGGTGTATTGGCAACGCGGTGCCCAGTGCCCCTCCTAACACAACACCAGTTACTTCCAAGGGCAGCCATGTGCCCAGGCAAATACACAGGCACCCTTGCAGCCAGTGCTGGGCACACACAGTGTTCACCAAACTTCACTAAAAAAAAAACCCTCCCCTCGTTCCTCTTCTTTCTGCTGTGAGTAAGTCCTAGAGATGCAACAGCCAACTGGAGACTATTTAAAAAGGAACCTCTATAACAAAGAGCACCCCCACTAAGAAAACAGGAGGAGCCTGGTGCTTAAACACATTGCTGAGTAGCTGCATGACCCCGGACTTCCAACCTGTATGACCTGCTACTTGAGAAAAATAAATGTCTGTTTACCCCAGTGCAGGGGTTTTCCGTCACAGATGAAAGCTTTCCTAGTGGTATGTTATCTACGGTGGGGGAGGGGGAGAATTACCACCACACTCAGCATTGAATCCTGCTGATGAGACTGCAAGAGAACCTAGGATAATATGGGGGCACAGAAGACCTGGAATAAGAACATGTATAAACAAGAAGGGAAGACGAAACAGTTAACCAGCACTGATGATACATATAAAGTACACCTGTGATCACCTTCTACCATTCACCCCCAAATAAAATCAAAACTCCGTTCCCAGACTTGTACACACCAAGGCTTCCCACTTTATGACAACCTCTTTTGGAAATGAACGCTTTTTAGATTACATCAGTAGTACCACATCCTAATTAGCCACCTAAGAAAACATTTTTCAGAAACCTGAGGCATGTTCTCAACATCATAAATTATTCTAAAAAGATATCTGTGAAGAAAACTTTAGATTTCCATACACACCATGTTTTTGTTACCCATTTCCACATTTTATCAGCTGCAATAACTGATTCTAATTTTATAGCAGATTTCGGCCTGCGTTACTGTATCTTTAACCTGCATGCCTCATCCTCTACCCCATGGCCTATTTCCTTCTCCCTCTCCCACTCCCTCGCTCCCAGTCACACACATGTTGCAACTCACAGTCGATGTCCTTCTACTGTTTGGGCTGCATTTCCATGCTGACCATGCTCATGAGTAATTAGTCAATCTCACCCACTAACGAGCTGCTCTGAGACAGCTGCATGATTTATTTCCATTACTATGGAAAGAACAGGAAGGTACCTAAATCAAGGTACATGAAAACTCAGTGCAGGTTTTGTTCTGTTGGAAACCAGAGTTTACACAATTGTGTTTATTGGGTTTATCATTTACACACATGTGGTATCTACAGTCTGGTAAAGTGAGCCGCACTGCACCAAGACCGGACTGGAACCCATACTCAACACTCACACGGACTGACAAAGGGAAAAAGAACGAGAAGTAGCATGCGCCTAACATGCTTGAGATACTTACCATGTAATTCTTAAATTTTATCTTATTAAAATTACTCTCATATGTCTCCTGACTGCATGGCAGCTGTGAAAAAGAATTTCTATTTCTCTACCACCAAAAAAAGCCAAAATACCCCTGGGCATCTCCTACCAAATTATGCATCTGGATTTAAGAGAATGATGTCCTAACACCTAATAATTGATTCACTGAGGGTTTCAGAGCACAGGAATTATAAAATAAAACCAGTAGTGAAAATATTTCATGACATTTTGACTTATTATGTTAATTAAGTATAATCTAAAGTCAGGCAACTAACATAAAGTAATAATTATGAGAGCAAGAACTATTCCCCCCCACACACCCTTTCTAAAATACATAACTTGTACAAGGTCCTTCCTTCACAGAATACCTCCCATCCCTCTTATTCCTTTGCTGATTCAGATACTACATCTTTTGTAAAAACAAACAAACAAACAAACAAACAAAACCGCACAACTGAAGACCCCGGAGCCCCAGGGAACTGAACGGAGCAGTTAGTCGGACCAGCAGCAGGAACCGCGCCCACAGAGTTCCCTGCCCAGCAGCACAGCCAGGATCGGTCAGTTCCATGTGTTTAAATCACTTGTTCGTTTTCCACACTTCCTCTACCTCTTAGTGAGGCTGCACTGAAACAGCTAAGGTGTCAGTGATCTACACTGTGAAAGTCAGAGCACGAAACATTCAGGTTAACGTGTGTCTTCGTACTTCCATGTGAATATTCAAGGAATCAAACTCACAAACTTGATTACACTAAAATGTTTCTATAAAAATACTCCTCCGGTGAACTCTGAGAAATACATACAACTGTGACCAAAGACACAGAAAGCTGGACTTACTCATTCCCACACGCCCCTCAATTTTCAAGTGCCATGGGGAACCACTTCAAACTTATCCATACATTTTCAAACTTCCACTAATAGTTTAGTGGAATTCAATCAAAAATTAAAATGGCTAAATGTGAAAATTTACATTTCATTTCTCATATTACAGATTTACCTTTTCTTCCATTAGTTAGCAGTAATAAACAGAAATGAACGAGGACTGAGCCCATGAAACCATGTCTTCGTTTCCAGGCTAGAAATCTGAAGTGTCTAGAATGTCCCTGAACTAAATGGAGAATGAAATCTAGGTTTAAAAAAAGTCTTAAATAATTTAAACAAGGAAACAAATTTACTCCTAGAATAAACCTGTGTTCCAATGAAATAATCTGAGAATGATAATCCTATTTGTTAAATAAATTTAGTTTTATGAACAAACAAACAAAAAAAACAGGAATAAGTACCATAGCTTTCACTGATTCCTTTCTGTTCTGAAAGATTTCTGGATTATCTTTAAGTAACATTACAAGTATAGTTTAACTGGAATCTATACGAGAAAGATTCAGTTTGAGGCTATAATATTACTCTTTTAACAGTTCAGGTATGAATTAAAACGTGATAATCCCGGTCCTTGAGAAAGCATTCTTTGTAACTGGTAGTTACATCATTTGTCATATTTGGAAATGTATGACAATGTACCTGATTGCCCAGGGGTTGGGGCTGGAGTGAGTCTTCTGCCCTTATATAATATATATACCAGGGATCCTTTAAAGAAGAGTCAGTCACCTGACCTGCCTCCTCCCATCTTCTCATTTCAAACAAACAAGTGAGTCACACATGAATGCTGCAAGACTGGCTACTCATATTTTGGATGCTTGAACATTTTGTTCAAACAAGCATGGATATATGATGACTATGAATGTATCCTGGTAGAATCACTAATAGGCTTAACAGGTTGAGCAAGATCTTATGTAGAATATTCAAGATTTAAGAAAAAGCAAGTTGGCCTAGAAGAAAAAAAGAAAAATCAGTCACATATTTGTACGTGTTTTACGAATGCATTTCACAGCACTCTCTACACTGCTGGCATTAATGTATATTTGTAAAACATTTCTGGAGGACACTTAGGTAACACGTAGCAAAAACTTCTTTATAAATAAAGTTAGCTACCTGTGACCCAGAGATTCTACTTCTAACAATTATTCTCAGGAAACAATAGCCAAATAGGTTTACTGAGCCTATATTTAAAACAGCAAAAAGGAAAAAAGATATTAAATGTCCAATAATAAGGGGATTAAGTAATATATATTTCCCTATAATGGAATACTCTGCAGGTATTAAAAATATTACCTACTCTGCAGGTAATGAGTAACTGCAAAAGATGCCATGACATGTTTACTTGAAAAAAGAATGTAACAAAATATATATGATGTGCCCAGGCTGGTGTGGCTCAGTGGATTGAGGGCTGGCCTGTGAACCAAAGGGCGCTGGTTCAATTCCCAGTTAAGGCACATGCCTGGGTTTCCAGCCATGTTCCCAGTATGGAGTGCGTGAGAGGCAACCACACACTGATGTTTCTCTCCCTCTCTTTCCCCCTCCCTTTCCCTCTCTCTGAAAATAAATAAATAAAATCTTCCTAAAAAATAAAAAAAACATATGATATGCTATCATTGTTTATGTCTGAGCATATTAAAAATTCTAGGTAGATCTACACAAAAAATGTTCAGATAACTGTGGGTAATAAGGTTACACTAATTTCTTTTTCCTTCTTGATGCCTCTGGGTTTCCTTGAAAACTTCTCCATGAGGTATTTTAAAGTACAGCTTTATCTGGCTGTGACTGGCAAAGTTACATGTGAATAAATATTGCACTAATTTAAAAACAAACACTGATTAGATAATGGTCCACTGTGG